GTCACTTAACCACTTTGAGCTTCAGTTTCTTCACCTTTAAAATGGAGATAACAGTATTTGCCTTACAGTCTTGTTGTAAGGATCAAATGGAGTAACATATATGAAGGTCTTTGCAAGCCTTAAAACCCTCCATAAATGAGTTATGATTATTTAAACAAACTAAAAATAAGTTTAATGACCTACTGTGGGCAAATCATTGGGTAAGTATATAGAGCAATGTTTCTAGAGTTACAATTTGGATGGCCAGAAATAACCTTCTCCCACTACAATCAGATTGGGGTTTCCCAATTCCTTTGTCCCACTTGATCTTCTGGGTATTAGAGAGTGGGGTCTTTCCTGCTTCCAAGCCACCAATAGTACTTCCTATGGTTTGAACTAGGAGTATGGTGGTCAGGTGGGATGGGAAAGAAATTGGAGGATGAGAAGCTGTAGAGGAATGGGGCCTCCTGCAAATGTAAACTTCAAGGGAAATTTATTACTGTGGGCCAGATGCCATCACCCTCTTTCTTTTTCATGTGTGGGACTATATAATATCCAAGTTTCCTTCCAGTTCTAATAATTCTATGATTATGTGGTCTATGATCCTATTCTCTGTATGCTACTACTGCCTCTTACTTCTGATCTGGATTTCTTTCTTTCCCATCCTGATGCAATAAAATAGTGTTATTCTGTCTTCCTTGCTGGAAACAATTGGGTAGTATAGTGGATAGAGAGTTTGACCTGAAATCAGGAAAACCTGAGTTCAAATCCAGCCTTAGACACTTACTAGCTTTGTGATCCTGGGCAAGTCATTTAACCTCTGTTTGACTTAGTTTCCTCAACTGTAAAATGGGGATAATAATAGCACCTACTTCCTATGGTTATCATGAGGATCACATGAGATAATAATTGTAAAGCACTTAGCACAGGGCCTGCATATAGTAGGTACTCAATAAATGAATTTATTTATTTATTTCCTTCCTATCATTTATTTCCTTTCCTTCCTTGATTCTCTATGAACCAAGCACACAACAAGCACACAAATTGAAAGTCACATAAGGGATTTTATTGCTACAAACAATGAGGAAGACATAAGAGGGGTGAAAAATCTCCCTTTTGCTCCATCTTATCCCACTCCTTCCATCTATCCCATACTTTTGTTGTTGTTGTTGTTGTTTTTTCATTAAAACTTCAACTCTGTAGGAAAAGACAAAAAAGCAATTTACACCCTCCCAAAATAGATTGGGCTACATCTAGAGGTTGGGAGTTCCCCATTGCCAGAGGAATTCAAATGGAAACTGGATGATTAATTGTTGGAAATGCCACAGGAAAGGAGTCTTGTTTGGATACAGAATGAATAAGGTGACCTCTGAAGTCCATTTCTCCTTTGAGCTTCTATAATTCTAGGGTTGGCTTCATTCAGGACCATGCCCTCTGACCCAATAAAATTAATTCTGGCTGAAAGATTCCCTGACCTCCCTTTCTCTTTCCCCTATATTAGAACAGATTCTCTGTCATGATCAGAACAGCTTTCCCTTTATCAGCCTGTTCCAAGTGACTGGCACCTGGTTTTGCACAACATGATTTATGCTGATTTTGTGCTTTTGGCCCAGCTTGGGTTTCATGGCTGCACTTATCCACCCATACTTCATTTAGTGGGAGAGCCAGAGGGCAAACAGTTGGCAGCCTTGCTGCTAGACCTATGAGCCTTTACTAGCTGCTGACCTCCTTGTATGAGTGGTAATTGCTTTTTAAAAGGCTTTGGGAGCACTTGGATCTTTTATCATGTGTGATTTTCTAAGGATCTCCTCTCCCTGGATGCTCTTCTTTCCCTTAACTTGACTCACATCAATTAGTTTTAGCAACCTGCGCCTCATGTTCTTAGAAAATTTTCCTGACTGACCTTCATTGCACTTAAAGCCTGGTTTGCAGCCCACCAACACTTAGTTCTTACCCTTTAAGACATAGGAAATGCAATTCAAAGTCATCATCTGTCAGAAATGTGCTTGAAAGCAGAGCATCTTGTCCCCATTGTGCACACCATCAGCAGCCCCATTTTAAAGGGCCCACTCTTCACAGTTAAAAGGGAGTAGCCCATCTCTGCTGTGCATTGGGCTAAATAGTGAGTGCAGTGGAGAAAAC